CAAAAATTCAAAACCTTCAGAACTCCCCCTAATGTTTGGATAAATATGTTAGCTGGGAAATTTCAAGACGTTTCCCCATACTCTGGCAATGACTGATGGGGAACGTAATCTTCATTGTGCTCCAAACCATTTAAAAAAGCCTGCTTCATTAAGATTCCAGGCAGAGGGTCAGTAAATTACCTACTCACAGTGGCCTATTGAAAGCATTTCTTTGCCTATTATGACATAGCTTTCATCAGCAACATCATTCCACTTCTGTCAGACTAAGAGAAATGAATAAAAGGAGTACATATTTGTAGCAGAAATTCTGAATAAACCCCATAGTTTTAGGATAATGACGACTGAGAAAGGCTTTTAAAAGGAGTGTGTGAACTCAGACTCAGACTTGCTGTGCCATTCAAGCTGATTCAAAAAGATTGTACGGAAGGATCTGCTATTTCTCCTTGCGTATTTCTCCAAACTGGTGTCAAGTGAGAGGTTTTTTTTGTGATCCTGTTTGTATTGGTTATCACATATACAGCCACTGTGGTCCTTCCCTACAAAGCTGCTTCAGCCTCTTTGGGAAAATAACACCAATCCCCTGCTGATGCAAATTCATTTCAAAATAAGAAAGCCTTAAGCAGAGTCAGAGTTAGAGCTAGAGAACCAGAAACCACCAGGAAACCACAAAGAGCTTAGAAACCACATGCTTTGGATAGATACATAATCTGAGCAGAGGTGCAGTAATCCGGCCAGCTTGTAGATTTACTAATGTGAACAATTTTGTCTGGGGGAAAAATGAAAATCAGTGCAAGTCATCCATAACTTCATGCACACCGTTTTTAAATAAATTTTCTGCCTATTGATAAAGTGTTTTTTCAATAACTTATGAACATTTGATAGAAGAAGAAAATGTGCACCAGAACTGGAACAAGAAGAAGAATAAAGAGAGACCTCTTTAAAGAAGAAGCCTATTATTGGATGTTGTGCGTTTTTGCACCCGTGACCGGACAAAAACAACTTCCAGAAATGAGCCCTGGTGGCTCCCGCAGGGAGGACAGCCCGAAGCCTCCGTGCTGATCACCGTGTTTAATCGGGAGGCTGATGGGTTTGATAGTAATCTGCCTGCAACATTCCCATCAGCTTGCTCTGGACCTCATTTCCGAGGGTTGTTTTTGCCAAAGTGGCATGTGGAGGCAGGGGAACGGAAATGTTAGTCTAAACAAACAACACGTCGGCCATGAGACAGGATTACATATTCCAGTAGAGATGTAGGAGAAAATGAAAAGTAAACCTCACGATAAAAGCAGCCTTCATATTACCCCTCAGTCCGACTGTTACCCCTCTCCCTGTTTAAAGCAAACATGGAGTCTTAAACTGATACTCTTTTGATCTGAATGAGTACATACATCTCTGTGGCCTGGAGAAGAGAGAATGACCTAGGCACATGAAGTGGACCAACCTGAGGAATAACCCCCAAATCAACATTCAAATGTCACAGATTTTTCCTCGTTAAATTAACCCCATTAGTATCAAGGCATATATAAGGTTTGAAATTCTAGCTAAGCAATGGGGATGATAATATTATTCATCTGTACATGGCATGTTGCATTTGTCCCATGCCCTACATAACATAAAAAATCAAAACATTTGCCATTAACTGTGAATTGGCAGCTAGGGTAGGCACACTGCACTGAACACAATCACAGGATATGGAGTAGTCACATGCCACCAGATGTGGGAGGTGCCTACCAACTGACCTAAGGATAATAGCAGAAGGCTGTGGTTTGTGGTAAGTGGTGAGATGGTTCACAAAGGTTGCAGGTTTGATTCTCAGACAGGGCATTGCTGCTGTACCTTTGACCTATGCAAGTTGTCCTGAACAAGGGTCTTTGCTAAGCAAGTAAATAACACAATGCAAAAAGCACACACCTCCACAGATGCTCACACTAATCGAACAAGCAGTGACTTGCGTACATGCTGTTATTCCTAAATATAGCCAAAAATATTGTTTATGTGATATGTGAACATATGGTGGGTGTCATTTTTATAAGAGGTGGAACATGGAAAATACATTTGTTCACTAAATGGGGCAAAGATTAATCTTGACTCGTTATGTGGCTTTTTGCTTGTGTTGTACTCTGCCTCACTTGTGAGCCACTTTGGATAAATGAAATGTCTGCCAAATGAATAAATGTAAATGTAAAATGTAGAGACCCCTTTCCTAGAACAGATCCAGACTGATAGCAGAAGGGATGATGGGAGTGCCGGGATGGGGGATATGGGGATGTGTGCCGTGATGAGTGTCACGGCAGCATGTGTCGCAGCAGTGTGTGTCGTGGCGGTGTGTTGCGGCAGTGTGTTGTGCGGCAGTGTGTGTCGCGGCAGTGTGTTGCGGCAGTGTGTGCGGCAGTGTGTGTCGCGGCAGTGTGTGTCGCGGCAGTGTGTCGCGGCAGTGTGTGGGCAGTGTGTTGTGCGGCAGTGTGTTGTGGCAGTGTGTCGCGGCAGTGTGTGTCGCGGCAGTGTGTCACGGCAGTGTGTGTCATGGCAGTGTGTCGCGGCAGTGTGTCGCGGCAGTGTGTCGCAGCAGTGTGTGTGTTGCAGCGGTGAGCGCGCAGCGGGGTCCCTGGCTGAGGCCTCTGTACTCACTGGCAGGTTCTCCTTCTGCTGCAGCGCCACCTCCAAGCCTTCTTCTTCCTGCAGACGCTCTGCTCCTGGTTCAGCCTGTTCCTCACCCGGGGTGGGGTGTCCATGGCCGCCACCTCCAATCAAACAGGTAGGGCGCAACTAAAAATGAATCTCTCCCTCTGCTGCTGCAGCTTGGCGTTCTGCTCCTGGTTCAGCCTGTTCCTAATCTGGGGGGGTGGGGTGGGGAGGGGGTGATTAATCAGATGGACTGCACACAACTCCTCAATCAAACAGGCAGAGAACAAAACTACATATGCAGCTGAAAAAGTCAGTCTGTATTCTTCTGGAAAACAATCATTAGTTCATGCAAATATATAAATTTCACAAGTATATATCACTAAAAGCTTGAAATTATTTTTAATTAACAAGACTTTAATAAACAAGTGATTTTAACTAGTAGACAGCTCTAACGCACACCAACAGATTTCTTTTACAAAGTTGATAAATACTGGATATATCCACCCAAACACTTTCCCTGAGTTTATTATTTTCTTCCTGGGATAACTGTATGTGCACTTTCAGATCACACTCTTTGGGGCAGAGTCTGCTTGCTACCTGCAGCTCCTTGTAGAGGCGGTCCAGCTCGGCGGCGGAGCTCTGGTTGTCATGGAGGCTGTCCATCTTGCCGTTCTTCAGCATCTCCAGCTGCCGGCCCAGCTCCTCCACCTTGGACACAGCCACCACCAGCTCCCTCTGCTTCTGCTGGAACAGGCTGCTCATCTGCTCAATCTCCTCCACTGTGGAGAGAGGGGGAGAGAAGGAGACAGAGAGGGAGTGAGAGGGAGAGAGAGGGAAAGAGAGAGCCAGTGAGAGAGGGATGGAGAGTAGGACAGACAGAATGTGAGAGGGAGAGAGGAAAATTGAGAGACAGAGGTCATGCCACAGAATGCCTCAGGTCCCTGGTTTCCACCTCAGTCAAATAAACCAAACCCAGCTCCTCACATGGAAGTCCTGAGGGCCTCTTTCTGTCAAAGGACAGGCTCAATCAATCACTTTTTGAAACTGGCAGACATGTACATATGTTACATATACCAAAAAGACATATTTCATACTTAATTTCATGACTCCTCTATGTAGATGGACTTTGCTGGAGGTTCTAATAGATTAAGGTAATGCTCCTTGCTGAAGTGGGACAACATTTGCGTCGCAAACAGAATGGGGCCCAGCAACCCTCAGGTCTAGCGCCCAGGGTTACCACATGCCCTAGTATGACATAACAATTGTTCAAAGGGTTCATTTTACTCCTGAGCAGCACACTTTAGAACTGTACCGTGAGCAAACCCCTGTGGCACTCCCACTGCTGACCTCTGTATTTGACTGGCAAACAGAGGCACCCCTAAGGCTTGCTCCTGAGAGAGAGGTCATGATCCTTTGTGATGTAAGGAGTCCTCATGTGCTATGGACCCTATGAGGCCTTGGCTTTGTGGAAGGAGCAAGACTGCAGGATGCTGGGTAAAATGGACTATGGGCCTGTAAACACATCTGTGCCTTTGTTAGTAGTTGTCTGACTCCAGGGGGTCCAACTGACAAATGGGCATGGTTGATTCAAGAAGTGTGACACATTCATTCATATCCTTTGGAGTGGGCCTGTTTGCAGATGTTGTGCCAAATATTGCAAACCAAAATTTAGATGATAAATAACATAACAATATTCCAGATATATAAATAATAATATTCCAGATGGTTATATGTATTAATATTCTAATTATTTTTTCACTTAACCATGTGTCCAACCAATAAATGCTAAGGGAGATAAGGATTAGTTTCTCTAGCGTCTATGATGTTAGCAAAGTACAAATTTATCTGTCCAAAAATAAATAAATAAATAAATAAATTGAATGGTCATACGTTGATGGTCATAAGCGTCCCTCCCTTGTCAGTGGCAAACAGCGGATAACAGTGGCAGTCTGTGGTCCTCGAGGGGCCGCGAACGAGGTTTAAACCGTGGCCGCTGCCCGTGGCCGCGCTCACCCAGCTTGCCGTTGCTGAGCCGCTTCTGCTCCACCTGGCCCTTGAGGGCGCGCACTTTCTTCAGCCGGGCCTCCTGGTTCTCCGCGTTCTCCCTCAGGCGCTGCAGCCTCTCCTGCTCCGACGCCTGCTGCTGCTGCCGCTGGTCCTGCTGCTTCAGGTAGCGCAGCCGCTGCTCCTGCGGGCCGGCCGGGGCACACAGCACACGTCAGGAACCCCACGGCTCCATTACATTACATCACATTACATTACAGTCATTTAGCTGATGCTCTTATCCAGGTTTGTTTTTTTACATGTTGTCCATTTATACAGCTGGATATATACTGAGGTAATTCTGTGTTAAGTACCTTGCCCAGAGGGTACAGCAGCAGTGTCCCAGCAGGCATTTGAACCAGAAACCTTTCGGTTACAAGCCCTGCGCCTTACCACTACGCTACACTGCTGCTTCACTAGTGTGCGTCATCTATTTACACTTCCAGACTTTATCTACTAGCCCATGGTACACTCCGAGACGGCAATAACCATCCCCTGACTATTTACTTAATTTACAGCTTACAGTACTGCAGCTTGCAAAAACATTCTAAAATGCAGTAAGCACGCAGTGGATGTTTGATGTTCTAAAAGTGCATTTACTACAATAAATCTCATTTTCACCTGCCCCCTCCCCTCAGTTGACTAAGATGTCACACTTGATGACAGCACTGTCGACTTGGTTGAAAGAAGACTGATGGCTTCTGGAGTAATTTTTCCTGCACAAATTTCTCAGTTTGTCTGTTTTTATGACGCGTGTCTGCTGAAGACTGCAGTGTCGGATCAGCAGGGATAGTCTGCACACCTTGCAGGTGTGATAGCAAAAGCAAATGATGTCTGCTGGTGATTTATGTGAGTGCTGAGTGTCTCATTTGAATTTGGCTGACTAGACCACACAAGCACAGGTTGTGTAAAAAGCTAGTGTCACCATTACCAATGCTGATCCAGTTTCTCAGGGGTCAGGACACTGTGGCTTTACCAGGACCAAAACATGTCTCTGCAGGGGACCCTTCTGTGTCCTACCTGGCTTCCTGTGTCTGACCGGTGAATGACCAATGAATTCTAATCCCATTCCCACTGCTAACAATCAAGGAGAACTGAAGTTGTTAGCACTGAACACACACCATCTACTGTAACTCTGAGATTCCTTCCCTTCACGCCTACCCTCCTCCGTCCTTCTAGTAAGCAAGCAACAATTCAGCCTCAGTCTACAACTCCCCACGCCCCACCCGCATCTCCCGATGAACTACCCCATCTCTCTTCACCTTGGAGGCCAGCAGCTGCTGCTGGGCATCGATCTGCTGCTGCTGTCTGGCTGCCATCTCCTGCAGCTCTGCCAGGGTCATGTCCATCCGAGGCTGTGACACCTGCAGAGGAAACACCCAGGAGTAAACTTCCTGTAACCACTACAAAAACAGCCAAAAAAAAACCCCACCCCAATCCCATTCTTCCCAAGCTCCACCAATCAGCAGCAAGTCCCTTGAAAATTCTCAGCTTGAAAATACAAAAGGAGCAAATAAAAACTTCCTCTGCAAACATGAGTCAGTTCCCATGGCAATGGAAACTATGCTGTCTTTCATCATGGTTATCTCGCTGTGCATACTTTGAATGACTCAAGGGCTGGTGTGGTTCGACCAGTTCCTGCCTCGGGTGTGTTCTGTGTACCGTAGGGCTAATTTCAAAACATAACAGTGTCTAAGTCACCTGTTACACCATGGGGAATGTTTATGAGAACGAGGAAAATCAGAGACACAGCTTTCAGCCAAGAAGTTTCGATATGTGTTGAAGAAGACTAAAAAAATTGAATTTGAGGAAGCCTGATACACTGTCTCTGTGCATCTGTTTCACCATAGGTACATTTCTATAGTGAAAGATACAATTTCAGTTTAAAAAAAGAGCTCGGAAGGGAAAGGAAGTGAGTATGAGGGCCTCGCTGGGCCTGTTCTGTTCAGTTTCCTGCACTCACCCCGTTTTCCATCCGTCTATCGACAGGCCCTTTCATCCCGTTCCTCTTAGCCATGTGATCGTGCCCTCTGGATCCGCCTGAGAAAGAACATCACTTCAACCCTTTACAAACAGTTTGGTTTCAGTACCATCTGCCACAACAATCCTGTCATTCTTTCACACTCTGATAGGATGGAACATATATTCCCACACAGGGAAAAAACACAGACTTTAGTCAAAGTCAAACCACTCCAGGTAAAGAGCTGATGCAAAATCAATCTCAATGGGGCCAATTCAGATCGGGTGTGCAGACCTCAGAACAAATGCCGTGAGACCGGTCAAAGCCAGGGACATGTTCAGCTGCTTAGCAGGTTCAAACTGTTACCATGTAACTTTTCAAACGTTCCAGATTTTGTATAACCTTCAGATCACAAAGATGGCTCTGTTATACCCCTTTTCCATTATAAAGCTGGAACTAATGCAGGTTGACTGACAGTAGTGGGTTGAGGTGACACCAGAAAAAAAAGATAATCCAGAATCACCTAGATGAACATTGCATGCAAGCCTGGATCCAGCATTACAGTACAGAGGTATAACGAGCCAGGCTTGTGCTAGCTCTGCTGTGGAAAAGAATCAGTGATAATGAGACAACCTGGTTACAGCCAACTCTACAGCGCAAAAAGGGGTTTAATTGTGCAAGAGCCATCACACAAGCCAAGGACTTGGGATTGATCCTGCAAGCTCTTTCCCATGACAAAGCTTGGCTATGTAATTCATTCTGCAGACAATTTTAACTACATGGCTAATATGGGTAAACAGCCCGCTGAGTGAACAGAAAAGACAGGAAGACCCGATCCCTGTCCTGTTACAACTGTATCCATGATCCCTGTAGTGTTACAGCTGTATACAGGATTCCTGTACTACAACAACCCAGAGGGGCACAAAAACAGGCTTATAAAACAAACTTAAAAAAAAAAACTTTTAGGCCTTCAAACTAAAATGAAAAATGCCTTCACTGTTATTGTTTCCCTGACTGGGAGTCAATACCACACATACAGAGGCAGATATCCAGCTCCATTGTGTAACAGCTCTGTCATTAGAGAAGTTTTATGTCAATTTAATTAAATCCTCACTTGTGGCCGTCAAAGAGCTGAAACATCTAAAATTTGGATGAACACACATGGTACATCTTGGATTTTTTTCCAAGTTACATAAGTGTCTTTGGTAACATGGTGGCATGACTTCAACTTATGGAGTGTTTGTGTTCTAAGCCAGAGCAGCTGCACAAATAAGTAAAACGCAGATGAAGGGGTATCCGAGAACAGAATCGCTATCTTTCAAATGCATCTAGTCGCAAAGAGTGAAGAGATCAGATAGGATTGTTTGAATCGATATCAGGCTCATTAACATCAGATGGGTGGATGTGTAGTTTAACCTGCTGCAGCTCTCCTCTGGCCAGTCTCCCAGTGCTGCGCTGCACAGATGAGGTGGAAGGTTATATAAGTCACAAGCGGCTTGATGCACTGGCGGCGTGGATTTGCGGAGAGCAGATCAGAGCATGCTGCCAGTGACAGGTCATTAGTGCAGTGGCATGCCACCATCTGTGACCCAGAGTGGCTCTGAGAGGGCAGGAACTCTGTACCCTAGATGGCAACAAGCGGAGGTCACATCCACCCAGTCCCTACCCCTGCCTCCTCCTGACTCCCACACCTTTTCCCCAAGTCCTGAAGTTTAGTGATGCCAGAGCAGTTGGGTTCAACAGACTCTCTTATTTTGTCATGGAGCTAAGATATGTGTTCTGATCCTTCATTGTAAAGGCAAACTTTTCATTACATTACATTATTGTCATTTAGGAGGTGCTCTTAATCATAGCGACTTACATGCTATCCATTTATACAGCTGGATATTTACTGTGACAATTCTGGGTTAAGTACCTGGCCCAAGGGTACAGTGGCAGTGCCTCTGCGGGGAATCGAACCAGCAACCTTTTGGTTACAAGCCCTGCTCCTTGCCACTGTGCTACCCCTTTTCTTTTCAGCCGCTGTGTTCAGAGATAACTGTGCTTACCATAAGGCACTGTCACCATCACTGACGATAGCCTTCACTGACAGCTGTCAGATCCATCACTGCATTCGCCGCTTCCATGACGAGCATTGACAGACCCTTCCGCTGTACGCGGTATCACGAGTTTGATTACCCTTACGCAGAGTAACACGGGATGCCGATGAAGTGTACCCGCTGGGCCTGGCTCCCCCCGTCCCCCCGGCGCGCCCCTCACCTGAGTCGCGGCTGGGCGGCCGCTCGTGCCGCAGGAAGAAGCGCACCTCCGCCCGCTGCTGACCCCAGCGCTGCAGCACGTCCAGCATCCGCTCGCCCTCGCCGACGGCCCGCTCTGCGAAGGGAAACGGCAGCACAAGCACGGGGTCATCGGGGGTCACGCGGCCACACCCACCGCCATCACGGCTCATCACACTCCTCTCTTTCCCTTCCGTTTTGGTTTGACATCTGCACATGCCGAGCGGGCTTCAGAAATGGGTCACCTTGAGAAATCGCACGGAATGCATATGGAGTTGCATTGGCCCTGCCCTGTAGATTTCCCTGCAGGCTGAACTACAAACTGACAGAGAAACGGAAGGAAAAAAAAAAAAAACTTTCAACGAGAAACAAATGATGGCAGCTGACAATCTCCCATCTCGGAGAAGCCTGTCAAACTGCTCAGACTCGTCCAGTCCGCATTTTTCCAGTGTTGCCTTTTCTCACACTTCCGTTTTGTGTTTATTTTACACACTGAGATCGCGGTTTGCTCCCACGGATCTCATGAATGACTTGTGCTGATAGTTTCAACTGGCACTCACCCATAACTTCTTTATCTTACAGATATCCCTGAAAACGTGAAAAAAACAGCGTTTTTTAGAGAAATACATTTTTCTTTCCAGCTGAGTGATACCGCCGTTCAGCAGCAAGACTGCAGAAGTGGTCACTGTGCTGAATTTGTCCTTGAAGGCTGGGGGCTGGAAGCACTTCACTTCGAGTGCCTGCCATAGCATTCAAAACGTAACCATGGCAACCCTCCAGTGTGAAACTCCAGGTACTTGACTGTGAGGAATGCTTTCTGTCTGTGTGGTTTTGAAAAGCTGAAACGCTAGTACTGGTTCTTTTTGGGAGCCAGGCTCTGGTGCGGTGTGGCACTTGTGTGTGTTTTTCTGGGGCAGGAATGTGCCGTACCGAATTAGCGGCAGAGCCCGCACCAGAAGATGACACCTCTGAATGAAAATCGGAAAAGACTAGCCAATCGGGGGAAAGCCATCCACAGAGAACCCTTTCAAATCTGGGCTATCTGATTACACCACAACAAAAAAAGAGGACCAAAGCCCTCTGAAGTGGGCCAGGGGCAATGAGATTCCCCATTCTTCCCACTGCCCTTCTTTCCGGTGTAAAAAGTGAATGCCCTGTGAAGGCACAAATAAAG